AAAAATGAAAGAAATTAATTTAAATTTGTACAATGGCATATTGAATATGGTTATATTACTTGTTTTGACAAACTTTTATATTGCAATAAAACTTACCATATAAACTACTTCAACTGTCCTTTAAACTTCACTCTCAACAAGCTTAAAAGCACAATTAACACATCTACAATACTTCACAATCTTTAGAAAGAACATCCTCAATTCATATCAAATTTATTTTTTTATTAAGTTAACTTTAAGTTCCACTCATGCAGTTAAACACACACTGTTTTTAACAAAAAAGTACCGGTACTTGTACCAATATTGCCATGGTTAACAACAAAACATATGGCATTCAATACTGAGTCAAGAGTCAAGATCGGCAGTTTATAATGGTTGAGGGAGGTCCTTAAAACAATATATCCCCCACGGGCAAGATGTCACCAGTGTGGCATTATCTGTAACTTCGAAAGAATCAAAGCATATCTAAAGGGGCGGTGTTAAATGGGTACTGGGGACATTATTGATTTTGTTCAATACTAAGCATGGATCAGAATAATTCTAGGTAATAAAAGTTATTAAAAGATATTTGTTTGCCATGGTAACATTTTGTAAAAGGCTTATGTAACAGAAGTGCATGAGAATTCATAGGCAATTATATCCTAAGATCAACTATAGAGAATTCTCATTTTTCCTACCGTGCAATAAATAATCAACTTCATTTATGAATATTGTATGACAACTTGCATCTGTGACATTGTAGCATTATTGTTAAGTGAGAGTAAGTACATAATCTCTGAGATTAGATAGTTCTATAAGAAAGAGATTTTTTACATGAAATTAATGCAAATATCTAAAACTTCTTCATCCTAAGTGACTCAGTCTCAGTGTTCAATTCTCCTGTTGTAAAAGAAAAAGTAGTATAAGGAGGGATAAAATTACAAAAGAACAGAAAAATACATTCATTTCCTCCCATAGGATATTATGCCCTTTTTTATAATTGTATCACTTTTGTTTTGCCATTCACACAATCATGTAACTACGGCTTTAATATACAGACATATATAAGCTACCTACATTAATAGAAACTGGATTTAAAGAGGCAATAATCTTTTCTCAAATTATGACTCAATGGAATAATTAGACAGTGACAATGACTTGACTAACATGTCATTATTATAGAGGCCCAGGCCTGAACCTGCTGGGTTAATCTGTATACTTTGTGCAGTCTAACCAGCTTCATATATTGATACCCTAGTTCATTCAATAAAAGCAATTAACAAACTTCGCAGCAAGTGTGTTATACAAACTTAACTTGTATCCTATTTTAGAGACCTTTCTATTGGATATGTGTCAGAGTTAAGGCCCCTACTTGTACAAATCAGATTGCCTAGTGTTTTGATGCTCTTTCTATTACAATTACGTACTACACTGGCTACTTCTAACAGGAAATGCAGTTAACATAAGAGAAAGAAAAACACAACTTGTCAACACCATTACAGGATTATTATAGAGTATATAAAGATTGACAGCCTTTAATGTTGTAGATGAGTCTGCATAAATGTTGACCAAGGTTAAACATGATAATACAGGTGATAAATTATTGTAATAAACACTCATTATGACTAAATCTTTACTATACTGGACCAAAGTCACCTATATATAGTATGTTTATATATATCACAAGTTTACACTTTTGACCTCAGGCTACATGCACTTATTAGCACAGGACAGGTAAAAGTTTGCCAGCAGTCAGCGGGGAGGGGGCGGGGACTCAATTTAACACTTTTATCAACATCTCAACGTGAATTTTATAACTCGATCATTACATCATTACATAAATATGACATGACAGACTTGTGTTGAATATTAACTGCCATGTTTATTTTCATTTAATAATTTATTACCCTTAATTGAAAATTTCAAATCTTTTTTTTAATTATAATCTGCATGCACGACTAATCAAACTGACTTTAATTAAAGAATCAATAATACTGTACATGTATAATATAATAGGTTACAAATTCCCTTCAAAATCTCTTGTTTCAACTTGCACAATCTGTATTTAAATTCATTCACAAAACCACAATCTTAAGAATTGTAACAAAGGCTTTTATTTTCTTCCTTGACAAAGAAGCAGGTCAGTAATGTATTCAACTAATTATACTCCTCATGTACTCAAGGTACTCTAGTTTAATGGACAAAACCTGCATAATATTAATAGCCGACTACAAAAGCCTTGAGCTGGATGGGTTTAAAGACTAATTAACGATTCATTTTGTTTCATTAAAATCCCTATTCCTGACTTTTGTACCCTAGAGATTCCCTCATGTGTTATGGACATTATTAAAACCTAGCTAAACCTCTAATTAACAACTCCCAACACAATCATGAAATCATAGAAAATTACCTGACAAAGTAGGTTCAGCATTAACACAAATCTTAACTAATGACAGGATATTAATAGGAACCATAATGATGGCTAAAATGTACTCAAAAACAGAAACAGGAAATAAATGTAAAAGCTGTAATTAATAGAAATGACAGTCTCTATTTATCCAATCAGGTAAAGATTTACCATTCACAAATATAATCTTAATTAAGTTAACACCGTAAATAATAACAAAATATATTAAGAAATTCAAATTACAAAAAAGTTCAAATCTAATTATATGAAAGTATTTCAAGGTACAGTAGTATTGCAGACTGCTGTAAACTATTTTTCAAGCAATTTAAGGGATATGATCCTCATATCTCTGAACATTAATGGAAACATAAAAGAGTCAGCCAGAACTAAAATTTCTAATCAAACAAAAATTTAATATTTCCATATGTTACAATTTTGTGTCTTTAGAGATGAAACAAAATTCTTTGATTTTTTAAGACAACCTTCATTTACAAAACAACTTGAAATCAAGCTGTACTCGGTGAAACAAACAAAATGATCTTTTTATAAGCAGTGTGTCACTTAATTGCTATTAAGATCAATATAAAGTTGGAATAACTGATTGGCTAATGACTGGATTGTTTTATCTTTAAAGTAACAATCTAAGGTAACAGTATGCCAAGACTTTTGATCTTTTATAAAAGTAAAGTACAAAATATGTTGAATTCTTTGAAGATATAATGAAAAAAAAATATAGCCACATCTTGAACTGCTCTTGATTGTCAACATCATGTAAAAAATTTCTGACCTGAAAAAAGTAGTTATCTAATAATGACAAGTTTAATAAGTTATTTTTAAGTATTTGTCTTAAAATGTTTAAAAAACAATAAATCATTTTAAAGGTCCTTCTCTATCTAACCACCAGATTTCATGTAAAAAGTCTAAGTGATAACAAGTTCCAATTGGTTTTAAAATCTGTAAAATCTAGGTTGGCAAGGAAACATTGTCGCTATAGAAACATAATTTGAAAAAGAGACACCCTATATATAAACACCTGAAAGCAATGCATGCAATTATAACCCTCATCCACAACCCTTCATGTATATAATACAAATTGAAGCTATTTCCCTAATACCTGTAACATAAATATATGTCAACTAGTTGCCCATGGTTACAGAAGCTAAGCTGATACTAAAGTCAAGGTCATCACATTATTTTATATTGAATTTAAAATTCTTTTACATGTCTTAATCTTTGTTCATTGAAGAATGTTTATAACATTTATAAAATGAATTTCCTATTTATGATACAACTGTACAGTTTTCAGTTATCTTATTTCTACAAACTGTTGGCTATTTGGTATGAAAACTTACCATTCTTATTTCTAATTTATTAAAACTGTTGCAGATATTTTAACCTTTAACTTGATGGAACCAACTGATTTAGCCTTTGCCACCAGTATAAAGCCAGGCCAGACAGAATACCTATTTAATGGCAGCTCAATTTTTGTCTTTAGATATTAAAATCCCTTTAATTTTGAATGGACTGTTCCAAATTAAAAACTGGACAAGTCCATTGAAAAATTCAAAGGGTTAAAGGTTAATAATATGCAATATTTCTGCCAAACATCATGCTTGTATGTCATGTATCTTTTTAACTTATTGAAAATATGTTATATAGTTACTATCACTTAAAATTAATATATTTTTGTGGTAATTTAAACATTTCAGGTTAACAGCTGCAAATTCAATATGTGCACTTGGGATCAATAGGGTGTGCAGTTGAAACAAATAAACAATTTAATATCATGAACATATTATTCATAAAAATCAATTATGAACATACATGTATTCTTCATTAATGGGATTTAAGTACAGAGGTTATTTTTCACTAAAAAAATTAAAAAATTCATTCTTACACTCAATCATACCTATTTTCTCAAGAACATTAAGGTAATATTTATTTGTTTTATGAAGGAATAAATATACACATTGAACTAAAACATGAACGTCCATGAAAACTAAAACAATGGTTTTGCAGCTCTAGATTATATATATAATTATGTTGTGTAAGCAAGCAAGCAACTTTTTCCTCAACACTGGCATGTATAATATACATATGTATACAACAAACACTTATGTTCACATCATCAGATCTTTATTTTAATTCAAAATTTAAGATAACTTTTGTCTTTGCATTTCTTCTTTTCTTTGGATGGTTTAAATAATAACTAGTTAGTTGCTCTTTTTTGGCACATGGACCAAGTTAAGACAGTTAAGATCATATAATAACTTTCAAGCCAATCCTTGTAAAGCCAGAGTGAATAGATAAATTTGATTGTGTTGGAAACTATAAGCATATTTAAACACTCTCGAATCTGTTCCTGGAACCAACCAATACTAAGCAATGAATGTAAAGTTTCTTCCTCGAGGAAGACTTATCGAAAGTAACTGTAGAGAACGTTTTGTTTCTTTGTATACATATGGATAATGCAATCTAAAAAGTGATATTAGCAAACACAAGTCAACTACTAGCTAAGGTTACAGCAAGCATATAACTGAACACTGACACAAGACAAACACATGACAGAAATGATAATGACATTCCGGCTAAGTTATATCCTCCAGATACTTGCCTACTCTTCCACTCCATATCATGTATAATTTTTTGGCGTCCTCGCCTATATAAAACATGGCAACAATAATACAGGTTATGAAATTGAAAAATAAATATATGCAAGGGTGGCTATATACAGAAGTATTACATGTATATATTATGATTTTTTTTATAAATTTCATTCTATCATGGGGGATAGTTGCATTCAGGTTAGTAATGAAAAGAAAAATATTTTGTCCTGCATCATTTTTTGTTTAAAATCATGTCCATAGTCCAATATATTATACGTATTTTGCAAACTTCACTTCACACGCAAAAGAAAACATCAGCAAAAAGTAAAATATAAAGCCTAGAAGATCAAACTTTGTGAATAATATAGGACAGAAAGAAACAAAAATTCAAGCTCACTCAAAAATTACAAAAATCATACAATAGCTCTATACAATTACCTTTTTCTTTTCCTGGTGTTCCACTTTTTCCCGAACTTGCTGCAGAACTTGGTCTACTACCGAGACTTTCATTTAATCTACTACTACCATCACTTGAATGTTTCTCTAGTAAAACACTATCTGTTAACCTCCTATCAGATTTTAATTTCTTCGTAATTGGCTCTTGAAGATCTATAAACATTGCTTGACTTTTACCATCACTACTAACATTACCACTTATATCAATATCACCATTTTCATTACCATTTGTTACATCTATTCTAATATTATCAGCATTAACCTCTGGATTAACATCGTAACTTCCATTCTTGCCTGATTCCATAGATTCATTGTCACTAGTATTTCCACTTTGTAATTTTTCCAATTCTGATGAAGGACTTTCACTTTCCATTCTTAGTTCTGTAGAGTTATCCATCCTAAATTCCGAAGAGTTATCCATTCTTAGTTCTGTGGCGTTATCAATTGTTCCGTCAACATCAGTCCCAACATTTTCATCAGGTTCTTCTTTGGAACCTGAAAATAAATAATGGTAATATTATAAATCTGTTTAGAAATTTTCAGTAAAAGTCTCAAATGAAATCAACACTAAAGCTAATGGCAACACAAACTACAAATCCAGGCGTTCATCCTCCTTTATCTGTATTAATAATATACTATTTTAATTTAATCAAGGAAATGTTAAAAGATCTTTTATATCTAATCACACTTTTGCATTGGAAAATCCTGGCATCTCATAACATGGTACTCATCCACACATACAATACACAAAAGGATATTACCAATCTTCTAGGAGTACCTAGAATTGGTTAGTTAACAATATAAACATTAAGACCTAACAAGACTGACATTTTTACACCCTTCTAGCCTTTACCCTGCTGAACCAACTGTAGTGGACATGTCTTGCTTTGAATCGGGATGTCCATTTCTTTATGAGGCTTGCACATTTGTTTCCCCCACGTTTTATGTGGACTTCATGTAAGGGATAATCCTTAGAATATAGGCATAGAAATTTCAATCTTGATAATGTATATTATACAAAAATATTGATCTGATATTGAGGAAAAAGCCGAAAGAAGTTATATAAGAAGTATAATCCATTGATATTGTTATCCTTTTTCAAAAGAATGACACAATAATCCTGTTTGTTCTTCCCTCATTTTTCACCATTCACTTTCACAGTATCATCAAAAGCTCTCATATACTCAAGTTTATCATTTCAGTGAATGAACACTAACAACATATAGACTGAACAGGTGCATATTTACTAAAACACCTGAAAATACATTTGCTTATAAAAGCAATTATCAAGTATATAAATAAACATTATATATACCTGTGAAAATATATATCTATATCTGATCATATATAAGAGTTAGCAATGTAACCTGTGGAGTACACTTGATAGATAACTCTTGTATAACATATTATCTGTGAATGAGTTTTCAAGAACTTTAATTGTGTTGTCAAGATATTCATATGCAATATATAGTTTAATACTGTTAATACTATTTTCATTGTATATTTTGAAGCTTATTTACTGTATTACCCCAGACCTTTACTGACATTACATCATATAATATGCAGTAAAGTGCCGTTTTGTTGAAGAGGCCAAACAAATATTACAAATCAAATTAATTATTTATTTTACATCTATAGTTTAAAGTCCAAGAGAAAAATTCTTATAGTGATTACCTCCCTTGAGTTAGTATCTTACCAATAACAGGGGAGGCAATTTTATTTTACTGAAATAAAAAACACACACCAACTTTTTATTTCTAGTAAAGTCATAAATCACCATTTTGAAATAGTCAAACATTTATAAATCATTGACACACCAATAAATATTGTGTTACTAATAAAAAAGAAATTTTGCTTTAAGCTCACTTGGTAATTAAATTTATTCAAATGGGACATTAGACTATCAATAAAGTTCAATACAGAAGGAAAAACTAATTGAGCCGCGTCATGACAAAACCAACATAATGCATTTGCTACCAGCATGGATCCAGACCAGCCTGCGCATCCGCCCAGTCTGATCAGGATCCATGCTGTTCGCTGACCAACTCTATTACAAGTAGAGATCGAAACTGATAGCGAACAGCATGGATCCTGATCAGACTGCGGTCATGTTGGTTTTGTCATGACGCGGCTCAATTGATTATTCTACAGATTATATCACACATGTTACCACGTTTACTGTGAAGAATCAATCCAACTACAACAACACAGGGGGAAACACTAAAGCAACAAAAGCTTCACAAATAATATCCAATATAATGTCTTTCAAGGACAATAAGCTTCAGGTGATGAATTCTTTTCTTGCGCTGTGGGACCAAGTTGCGTCACACAAAGTTGATTAAAACTGAGATGTGTTGTGAAATCACATTGTCGCAAATTAAACACTAAAGGCATAAATTGAATGATATAAAGAAGAGAAGCTTCAATTTTGTATCTCATGTGACATTTATGTACAGGACATTTTCCCCTTTTAAACACCTTATTTCTTGATTGCATGAATATGTGTTTCCCCATTTTACACTTTTTCTCAAGATTAACCCTGAATATCCCTCTAAATATCCAAATTGGATGCGTCCGCTTTTCAATCTAGACAAACCATTCATCACTTTTAGGAAAATTACACAATAAGAACATTAAATTTTACTGACTGAACTGCAAATAGTGCAAACAATGATCAGTCTGCACATCCAGAGGGTACAGCTGCTGGGCCAGCTGATCATGGTCTGCACTGGTTAAGCATGGGCAAATTATGTAGCAGCTAGCTTAAAGGATATTATTATCAACAAGACATTTCTTCTGGTCCCTGTAAACATTACATTAATGTTCCATTTTTATCTTTTCAACTTTATCAAATGTCTTAGGTAGATAATCTCTTTCAATTATTTAGGAAAATATCTTTAAAGTAACCTATATAGCTGCTATGACCTCAAAAGCATGACTAAATGAAACATGAGCGCACAGTCACTGTTTGTTATTATTTTGGTTTAAAGCTGGAAAGTTGCCATTCTAACGCTGGACACTGTCCCAATGTCACAATGACTTGAAACCCATTAACTTAATATATATGTAAACATATATGAGCCGCGTCACGACAAAACCAACGTTATGCGTTTGCGACAAGCATGGATCCAGACCAGGATCAGGATCCATGCTGTTCGCTATCAGTTTCTTTACTTGTAATAGGGTCTGTAAGCGAACAGCATGGAACCTGATCAGACTCAATATATATATTGAACAGTGTAGTGCTTTCTTCCCATTAAAACAGTAAAGTATAGAGACACATGTGTTCCACATAAAAACAATAGAATCAATGTTCTAGGGCTCTCTGTAAATACAGGCAACAGATGGTCTCACTTTCATACAACTTTTACAGTCTACTTTATCAAATATATATATATAAACTCTTGACTGCTTCCCTAAAATATATTTATATATAACTTTAACATACAACCAAAATATAAAGGAATAGAACAGAACAGAACTTTTTTCAATCATGTCAAACGATTCCCTATCAAAAAGCACAGTATATGATTATGACCTTAAATTGCACATTTCAACATAAAGTTTTGCTATACACAGTAATATTATAGTACAATATACTAGTACACAATAATTTTCAATTTTTTTTTAAAAGATGTTAAAAGTCAATTTAAAAGTACAAGAAAAGTGACAAAATACCAGAATAAAAAGCTTTTATGTAACAATACTATACAACCTTGTTAATGGCATTCCATATTGTGACTTTTAAACTGCCTGTTTATCAATGTTGACCTGTTATTAAAGAATGTTATAATACACATACCAAAGGTATTGTTCTACCCAGACTATCACAAAATCCATCATGCTATAGTAAATCAACAGCACTGAACTTGAAAAACTATAGAGTCATCAGATAGGTTTGAATCAGTTCATCATAAATATTTAAACATCTCATACACTCGTAAATCAACAGCTCAACACAATAATGTTCTAACTCCTAGAGTGAATGCCCAAAAGTTAGGGCAGTATTACGGTAAACATATGAAGTGTGATGAAGGCTTGGAATAATTAGATCAAAGAGTACTGTAACCAAAAGACCTTCATATTTACAGGTGCTAATTTATATCTGGGCCTAGATTTACTCTAATTTCATTAGTGCCAGTACAAAAATGCCATATTTGGTCAAGTTTTCTTTTCCTCAGTAAGGCACTTTACAAAATCATGGTAATTGGTAATATACAAACAATATACATAAAGTTACATTACTTGAAGAGAACAAGTTTAAATGTCATGTCATGGAACCATAAAATTGAGATTTTTCAAGGAAGATAATCAGGGAAGAAAATTAAGATTCAATAATCTTAGTATGAGTCAAGGAAAATAATTTACCATACACAAACATAGGGACTGTGTATGTGGTATAAAGTCTAAGGTCACAAACTGACTTTTTCATAGGCTTGTTTGTGATAAATATGTTAATTAGAATAATGTCAACCACTTCAGTACATAAGATACCACTTCTTAGTACTATGTTCACATAAATATCAGGTTTTCATCAAGGTGATAGACTGTTGGAAAATAAAATGCTTAGAAAAATGGAACTACATCAAACTTGTATCCAGAGTTTCCAATACCACCTTGTAAAATAGCTGTGTTGTGTTGTAAATTACAAAACGATTATACTGTTGCCATGTCAACCATTTTCCACATTTCAAAATAACAGAAACTTAAAGGTTATTTAGCTATCATCATTATACAATGGCAGTATTCAACACAAATACAAAGGACTCACAATCCAATCTCACAAGTCATAGGGTGACAAGTTTTATGTTCTATGATCTGATAAAAACTTAAAAGACAAACCAAGGAAAATTAATGAATTATGCAACATACATTTTTTTAATTCAATGCATCTAAACAAAATTCATTTCAAAAAGAAAAGGTCTTAGGATCCAACACAGAACTATATTGTCACATCTGACAAAGACAAGAACATTTAAAAAAAAATCCCCACCTGATGTATAAATATGGCATAATGCGCCAATATCAAAGTAAATCATAGTTTCCATTATACATACAATAGTATGAATAGACATTGTTATAACTAAAAGCAATATTCAGAAAACCAAGATAAATTGAAAACAGTAAAATAATAACAATTTTCACGTCCTCACCACTGTCAAAGGATGCCATATCCCCGGAGAACTCCGCAGAACTGTCCGCGTCATCAGAATCCCACCACCTGACTCGTGACATTTTTACCGAACGTCTTCACAAAGTTCGTAATCATTAAATAGATCAAGTAACAGTCCAGGTAACCTTGATTCCGCATCATAGAAAAACTAGACTGGTTTTCCTGATTATTTTAATCCGGGTTACATAGAAGCTCAACAGTAACAGAATTATCTGAGTCCATCTGTTCCAATCATTTCCATAAATAGTTAAAGAGCCAGTCCCTTTGAAGGAAAACAGATCAACTATAATGAAATAAATAGTCCATTTTTACATTTACTGCCTTTACTGGTTCTCACATGTTTACGTTTTCTATCCAAAAAAAACAAACACACGCACACCTAGAGCTGTGTTTGTGACATGACAATATTGAGGATTAAAGGCGTTATTTCATTAATTTCTGTTTTCATCGGAGTGAGGTAATCAATACATGTACTATATACATTTACTGTAACAGCAGACTGTGTCGCATCATTTATTGACTGGTTTAATGCCTTATTATAATACAGGTGGATATAGACTGTGCTTCATATACACAACAGAGCTGTCAACAGCTCTCTCTAACAGCTTCACAAATTATTCATAATCAATTTACAGTCAGAAAATGAGTTAATTACGTTTTTAGAATGTCTCAAATGACTGGAAATGTAATAAAAGATGGTTCAATACACAAAGCAACAGGACTTTCACAGTAAATATAAAATATGATATTTGATTTCTGAAGTGTCATCAGACCTTTCATTGCTCTACTATTACAAGTCTTGTAGACCATAATGGCTGGAATAAACCTTGGAATGCTTAGAAACATGCCATTTTCAGCAGCCATATCTTTGAGATCTCTGACATATTGTTTAATTATTAAGCAATATCATCTACTGACACTGAGCAGATACCATATTTTATTTTAGACTATTAAATATATAGATACTATATGGTCTGTTTATAGACTCGACATCTCAGTATTCAAAATGTCAGGGTCTCATCTTGTAATAATAATAAATTGAAATAATATCATGATTATAAAAATCTTATCTTCAACATTCTCATTATGTGACTTTTGACCCCTCAGTGATCACTTGCATTCAAATCTTTTACAATGATTGCTGTTGTCGCTTGTTTTGCTTGAAAACAAAATATAACCACCTAAGAATTTAACATTTATCATGCAGGAAATAAACAATTTGATGGCAAACAGCCTGCAATATTTACATCAGGTATCAGATGTAATCATACAATATATATATATCATATATGATATGTGAAATAATGCACTGGAAAACACACTATATTATTAGTAAAGAGGGAGCAATATATTACATGTAACAAGTGTTGGTATATATATATATATACATACAACACATTATGTAACAGTTATATGATCATGTCTGCAGAACTCATTATATCTACAACAATATCCCAGCATGCTACAAGGCACGAACACCTATAGTATGGATTGGTGATTTTTAATCATTGGTTACATTCATAATTACTTTGAGTCTATATAAATTATTGCGATAAAATCTTGGGTGTCAATCCAAATTAATTAAATTGTACCCATCTCCAGCTCTGAATTTGGAAATGTCTATGATTTCAATACAACTACAATTACTGTAGTTGCGTACAATAAATTATATGATGTTCTTGCCTCTGGCTAAACAGGAACCAGGAGTAGTCTGGTCACTATCAGTCATGGCATAATGTTGTACCACCTTCGTGGTCGAGGGGTTAGAGTCGATGACTTCTAATCCAGTTACCTCTCTGGCATGGGTTCGATCCCCGGTAGATGCTTTGGTAGTTTAGCGCGAAGGAAGGTAGTCTAGTACTGGTGTAACTCTCCAGGAACGATGTTTAGGAAACTACCTGCCTATATGACTGAAATACTGTTGGGAAAAGGCGTAAAATGAAACAAACATGGGAAAAGGCGTAAAATGAAACAAACAAAACAAACAAACAATGTTTAACCTTGCATCGGTTAAACAATGGTACAAGTAAGTCATGGTCAGACTCATGGGGCAGCTATGTCCTTTAACCTGCTGAAGTTCTATAATGGAACACACACACAATTCAAGTGATTTCTATAATGAAAATATACAAAAGTTGATCTACCAACAGTATAGAGCCTGGTCAGACTGCATGGATGTGCATGCTGGCCTGGATCTATACAGGTGGCTTAGGTTATTTATGGTACAGGGTTAAGAAACATCAAACCAAGTTTAATATTTTGTATGTTATTTTTCTATCATGAAACAATTTATTAATATTGCCCCTTGACTTATAATCAACTATTTCTTATTAATCAGAATTATAATTGGTTTGGACATTCTGACTTTAGTGTAATATAAACTTGCAGCTTTATACCTTAGAAGCAAATATCTATTATGTTTACATCACTTTTAATTTCATTGACTTGCCAGTACCTTTGCATTCCATGTACTTATAATGTTATTAATATACCCTTGAACCCACTACCTTTTAAAAGTTAAATTTGACATTAGTCAAACTGCTGACTATTTACATAGTCATATATTTGTGCTTCCTGTTGGCAAGTTGGAAGTCCTGACCTACAACCTGGATTCTGTTGACATTAGCAATCTTGTTTACATACCTATTACCACAGGTACAAAGTTATATTATTTGGAATAAAATAGCACTGTATCTAAGATCATGAAAACTCAAGGTCTCCTTGCAGGCAGAACATAGTAACAGTAAACAAGAAGTATGATTCTGATATTGTTGTGTTTTCTATCTATATCATATAATTATATTTGCAAGACTGAGAAACAAAATTTTTCTATTTAAAATATGATAGAAAGTAAGATTTATCAAGATACAAAGAACACGATAGGCATATCAATATAATTATGTTGTTGTTTTGGGTTTTTTTTTTGTTGTTGTTTCAAAAGCTACAATAATAATCATACACAAATTTGATAAAAAAACTTTCCAAGCAAATTGGTCATAATATTAAATAATTACATAAACATTATTAAAAATTTTGTTCTGAAAAAGAGTAGCATTAATCTAAGATTAGCTTAAAATACTGATCTATGAAGTGCCCAAAAGATTAACAATACGAGGGCTGTTCAAAAAGTTCGTGGACTGCGGCTCTACTGTTCACATCTTTTCATTTGCGTAAATGATTTTACAAGAGACATAATGAAAATATGTCCTAAATAAACAGTGAAAAAATCAATACAATATGTTTACAAATAACAAATCTGTGACAGTTACAAATCACAAGGGGTGCACAATTCCGGCGCACGCTGATGATGAAACAAAATGACGTTCGTGACGTCGCAATATAAATCAAACATTTTACCAGCGTCATTGTTTCTGAAAGTACTCTTTTTAGTGTTCAATATCTGCGGATCATATACCAAAACCATTTTTCTGTTTGTGATGATGACCCGAGATATAAAGTGGTCATCTATTCGCTCCATTCTCCGTATAAAGGTCCGAGTGCCCTAGCATTCATTATCAAACGGTCCACCAAGGTAAATACACGTAATACAAATAATAACAACAATTATTTATTGTAAATACGCATATATCCTGATGAATGAAATAAAATATTATTTTAATTAAATTAAATTGTTTTGTCGGATTTGAATGCAGAAATAAAACATGTCGGACATTTCGCAAAACTTTCATAATGTCTGGACTTCTGTAGATCTTTTCCATTGACGTTTTAAACGTCCCAACAATTTGCCGCTAAAATTATCCGTCGCTCTTTCTGTCTGCGAGCATGTACTTGCCGTATTTGAATCGGTTGCACGACCTGAAACCAAGAGACTTGCTCGCCAACTCATTGTTCTTCGTTAATTTAATCACCTCATAAAAATATAAAGGGGTATCCCACATTTATTGGTAAAAATTTCGGAAAGAGCGAATTTCTAGTTTTTAAACGGGCTTTATACTTACCAACTTACCCGTCTGTCTACTGCTGCTCAAAACCTGTTTGTTCAGCTATTCAACGTCCAAACGACGTCAAATTTCAGATTTATGTCATTTAAATTTCAGATTTATGTCATTTAAATATTAATAGATGATTACTTGTATTTTACTTCATAAAATAATCATTCAGTTTGTTTCAACATTTGTTTATATTTAAACATTATATGAAAATTTCGGCGTGCGCCGATGTAACGTTGCCATGGTTATTAAAGTGCACATAACTCGTAAAGGAAATAAAAGTTTACAATAAAAGTAAATCTTACTTTTAGAAATAATAACACTCCTTCGATTCATATCCACTAAGGGTGTTTTTATGAACCAAGTAAAAAATGATAGCAAAAATCCACGAACTTTTTTAACATACCTCGTATGTAAGTGTTATAAGCCTGGGACCATAAAGGTAAACTTTGGAATTTAAAAGGTTAATTTCGACCACACAATTTCAAATGACTTATAAATATTATTATAAATGCAATGTCCAATTTAAGCTTTTTATCAAAAATGAACCTTAAAGCACCTTAAAGTCTTCATGTGGCTGTTTTTTGTTGTTGTTTTTTTTTAAATGACTCGGTGGCTTCTTCCAAATATCTCAGCACAGTCTGACAATGACTATGTTGCCTGTAAAATTCAAGCATTTTGATAGAGAAATTTGCACTTAAAAGACAATGCATGACTCAGAGAGCAGTGCAAATGCCCAATCAAAATGCTTATCAAATTATTTTATTTATTAACCCTTATACCACACTTAATATCTCAAATGGACTTGTCCAAATATCAATCTGGACAAAACCATTTCATCACTTTTAGGGATATTTTCAAAAACATGTACTTAATGAAAAGGAAATAATAAGTGCAGACCATGCATGATCAGCCGACTGACCTTGAACTGCACTGGTCGCATGGGTAGATTAAGCTGCAGCCAGCAGGCTAAAGGATCGAACTTTGCTGATAAGTAACTTAATTATTCAACAAGCAAACTGTTTTTAAAGAACACAGTCCTTCTGACATTGAAAACAGTTGTAATATACTTACTACCAATACAATCAATACTAGTACCTTTCAATTCTAACATCATCTGTAAAGATGGCTGAATAAATTATCCAACTTCATAAATCCAACTAACAATTATATATCCAAAATATCACATAAAATCATACAGTACATTACAACATCACAATAATGTTGGGAAAATTCCACTAAACCAGACATTTTGAACACTTGTGAAAGAATCTCTTGATTTTTTTTGTTTTTTCAAAATACGTGAGGAAGTAAATTGGTACAGTCCCAAATATTTCTGACAGCTAGAAATGATTACAGCAAATGCCTCAGTATACACACATGCAGGAGGAAATGATTGTTAGATAATATAACATGATTACTGTAGGCTATACCTTCTAGATTACAACCAACTGTCAATCATAT